TAACACACGACACACTATGCCAATCGATACCAACGCTGACATTGAGGAGGCTGTAACACACCTTACACTGACAATCACAGACGCCGTACAACAGACTATACCGACACTAGACTCAAGAACAACACCAGCCAACGACTTGCCAGAACACATTTTATTGAAAATACAACTTAAAAATCATACAAAGAAACTGTGGCAACGTACCGGTGACAGACTACTCAAGGAACATGTCAACAGACTGACAAAAATTATTTCCAATGATATACGTGACCACCGAAATAACACTTGGACCAAAAGACTCGAGAACATAAATACTGACCCACACAAAATTTGGCAGACAGCAAAAAGACTGACGCGGAAACCAGCATCCATACCTCCACTCTAATTAACTGACAACAATTACGCAACGACACCAGCAGACAAAGCGGAAATATTGGCAAAAAACTTTGAAAACATACATAAACAAAATGCCAATATGTCAAACGCAGACCTGAAACAAAACGTACACGAGACAATTCAAGACTTCACTGACCTCCACAGGGACAAAGACTTACGAATAGACCCTGCCACAGTTTCCGAAATAAAGACAATAGTTAAAAAATTACCGAACAGAAAAGCACCGGGACCGGACGGACTACAAAACATAATACTTAAACAACTGCCGACGAACGCCTACATTTTACTTACCCGGATAATAAATAGAATAATGACAAAAGGCTGCTTTCCCACTTCTTGGAAAATCTCCACCATATTTCCAATAGTGAAGCCAAGGAAGCAGCCAGACATACCACAGAACTACAGACCGATCAGCCTCCTCAACACAATGAGTAAGGTAGCCGAAAAGGTACTACTCAAAAGACTTAACAAACACATAAGACACAACAAAATCATACCTAACGCACAATACGGCTTCAAAGAACGACACTCCACACTACACCCACTAACAAATCTCATAGAAAATACAGTTCTCAATTTCAATAGACAAAACCATACCGGACGGGTGTTACTCGACTTTGAGAAGGCGTTTGACACCATCTGGATGGACGGACTTATACATAAACTTATCCAACTAAACTTTCCACCGTACATAACGAGAACTTTACACTCATACCTCTCAGACCGCAACTTCACTGTACAAGTAGACAACGGACTTTCGACGGTTAAACAAGTGACGGCGGGAGTACCGCAGGGCTCAATCCTGGGACCGTCACTGTTTAACGTCTACATTCACGACATACCCACTGACGCCGACACAACGTTACTGACGTTTGCTGACGATACTGCCATATACAAATCATCACGCTCACCTACACTACTGACTACAAAGATACAGACACACATAGCAAACTAACTGAATATACTGACAAATGGCAAATTAAAATCAATCCGCAAAAGACGGAGGCTATTCTTTTCACAAAGAGCCGAAATGCCACGACTAGACTGACTGACCTGGACAAAATTAAAATATTGGTCTGTGAAGTTGAGTGGTCCAAGGATGTCAAATATCTTGGTGTGACCCTGGACCATAGACTCAGCTTCACAAAACATGTTAATACAAAAATTGGACAGGCTTACGGGATGTTAAATCTACTGAGACCTCTCTTAAACCACAACAGCCCGCTAAGCTTGAAGAACAAGCGAACACTTTACTTGACACTAATAAGACCCATACTGACATACGCCGCTCCGGCATGGAACGCGACGACTAAGACTAACCTACGAAAACTACAGACATTACAAAATAAGACACTGCGACTCGTACTCAACAAAATAAGGGACCCACTGAATAGACATTACTACTCTTCAAAATACATACACAAACTGACTTACCGACCACCGACATAGTGCCACTCAATTTGTAATCTCGCTATATTCACAATATTCACTGTATATATTAAGATCAATAATGTAATTTAAAGTACCCAAGGGTAGAAAAATATGTGTAAATAACAATGCATATGTATGATCAGCTATTGTAAAAAATACTTTTTATCTTATCTATCTCTCTTTAGGTCGCACTTTTATATATTGAAATATATATTTTTTGAATGTAAAAATGTTTAATTGTTCTTATTATATATTTTTTCCAACATATTTGTGATTTTGTTGAAAATATATGCATTATTTCTGCACACTATCAACACAAGTTAAATGTTTTTTGAATCATTCAAATCAGATGCTCCGTTCTCTCAAAGACTTAATTTCTATTTTCTGCACTCTTTGCTTCGTATCTCCGAAACGGCTGGACCAACTTTTTGCCAAAAACTAATCAGCACGTCTCCCCATCAATAGGAATCAAATGCTTTTTGAATAATTCAAATCTAAAGTATGCCAAAATGTTTAGAAACTTTGAAACGTGAGGATATACAAAAAATTTCAATTATTAGAGAAAATATAAACCCAAACAAATCTTTACGAAGAATAATTACGAGCTTAGATAAATAAGTATAAATTACAATTACGAGGATAAAATGATACCTCAGAAAAAATGTAGGTGTGTGTGTGTGTGTGCGTGTGCCGATACAAATTTTCGTCGACGATTGTACGAACACGGATCAACTGATTTGAATAATTCAAAAAACATTTTACTTGTATTGACGAAATGAGCAACTGGTAAAATTTATTGTAAAGACAATTCAAACTGAAGGTCCAATAAAAAAAGTAAAAAATAATGCTATTTGGCGGTCAAAACTGAACATTAGACATATGTACAGCGTATTATCAGAAATGTTATAAAGAATATAATAATAAGTACAAATTTTGTGTACATTTATATGCGTTCCGTACCAATGTTTACATGTTAGACTACTACGCGGCGCTTACGCGCTTTGATATTTCGACTACAAATCAGCTATGCAGCGCTATTGCTTAAAAAAAAGTTCAGAATTTTCAAAATACAAGAAAAAATCAAAATATAAAATCTCGAGTTTTTCAACTAAGTCAAATTTTTAAATAATTTTAATTTTTTTTAAAAATCTAATTTTTCATGAGTTTTGCAAACTTTTTTTTTAAATTTAGTTTTTGCTACGGAAAGTTCCAGCAATTTGCCTTAAAGCACGCGCCACTAGTTTATCTATTGGTAGGGCAAAATCTGGGCAACCTGATTTACTTAAAATCAGCCAGATGATGGCTTGCCGCAGCCTGTTGTGTTTTACTAACTTCCCGTAGGGTAAGTTATTGTAATCTTCTATCTTAATTAGAAAAATGGATGTGTGTGTGCCTGAGTGTGTATGTATGTATGTATGGATACAGTTTTTCGTCCACGTTTTCGGGCGCACGGATCAACCGATTTGAATAGTTCAACTAGTGGTGTATGGCATCGTGCCTTAAGCCAAATTGCTGGAACTTTCCGTGATGAAATATTCAAGTAATTTTAAACATTTTCAAATATATTATTACAAATACTGTAACTTTCATTATTTTTGCTATCTTGTTATATCTGAGCAAATCAAATGCAAAGCATAAATCAATTTATCTCCAGAACATTAACAATCCTCATTTCATTTCGAATTCGATTTCAAAAAAATAGTTGCCTATTTTACACACTATTGAAAAAGTGCTTCCGTATAGTCACAGTATAAAAGCATTTGCAAATAATTCAGTGCGACATTTTCACTTATACTGTGCTTAGCTTGGCGGCATTTTCACATTTTTCAATAGTTTTCACAAAATTGGAAAAGTGCTCCAGTCTGGGCAAACATTTGTACCAGAGTGGCGCTTAGACTGTGCTTAGCCTAGGTGATTTTGTGAATTTCTAATCTAAAATTACAAAAATATTTTTCGAAAAAAATCTAAAAACAAAAATTTTTTTTCCAAAAGCAATTATTTTGTTGAAACAAGCAGAAAGTTTTTTAGATCATTCAAATCGGACGCTTAGTTGTCTCAAAAACTGCCATTTTTTGCACATTTAGCTCTGTATCTTTGAAACCGCTGGACCTGCCTTTTCCAAAAATTAATCACCACTTCTCCCCGTCATTACGAATTGAATGTTTTTTGGATCATTTAAATCCGATGCTCCGATCTCTCAAAAACTCGATTTCTATTTACTGCACTTTTTGCTCCGTATCTCCGGAACGGCTGGACCTGCCTTTGCCAAAACTAATCAGCACATCTCCCTATCAATAGGAATCGAATGTTTTTTAAACCATTCAAATCGGTTGATCCGTGCGCCCGAAAACGAGGACGAAAAAATGCGGACATACGAAACACACACATATCCATTTTTTCTGAGGTATGCCAAAATGTTCAGAAAACTTCAAAACGTTGAGAAATGCAAAAACTTTCATTTTCGATTTTCGGCCCATTACTATAACTATCCTACGGGAAGTTAAAAACAATCGATTCCCCTTGATAGGGAGATGTGCTGATTATAGTGTTTGGGAAAGACAGGTCTAGCCGTTACGGAGATACGGAGCAAAGAGTGCAGAAAATAGAAATAGAGTTTTTGAGAAAACGGAGCTGAATGATCCAAAAAACATTCAATTCGTAATGATAGGAAGAAGGGGTGATTAGATTTTGGCAGAGGCAAGTGCAGCCGTTTCGGGGATACGGAGCAAAATGTGCAAAAAATGACAATTTTTTGAAAGAAATAAGTTGGACAGCTACTTGTGTTGATGAAAAGATTGTTTTTTTTTTGATTATCGAAAATAATTTAGATTTTTAAAATTTTAACCCGCTACGGAAAGTTCCAGTGATTTTCTTCAAGGCACCTTTAACTACACAACTAGTTTCATTTGCAAATAACAGTAATTAATAACAATCACTTATTTGAAAAACAAGTATTTCGTGACAGTTGAAATAATGAATTCAAAAGACGCGCCGCTACTTAAATTTCAAAGCGATGTGATGAATGTCTCATCTTTCTTAAAACATACTCTATGCTTCAAATGTCAAATAGTAAATGTAAATTTGGATGAAATAATTATATTTTTTTAAAAGATTATTAATTAAACTATAATTATATTAAAATATTATTATTTATTACACAATTAATTTTGTGAATATATACTAATTAGACGGGAGTAAGTGAAAATATTTAAAAAATGTCAGACGAAACAATTATGTCTATGAATGCTGAGGCAATTAAAATGGAACCACCAGAATCTTCAGTAGAAGACATTAAAAGCGAAATTGAGGTTGAATGTGATGTTCCTGATGCTATAGTTAACCCAAAATCGACTTCTGAGGAAGATAAAACGTGTTTAGAAAGATTCATGAAATCCGATGTGACGATAGAAGAAGAAGTCAAGCAGGATACAATCGAGGAATTTGTATATGAATGTGGCATTTGTAATCAATCATTTCCAGAATCACATCTTTTAAAAGAGCATATGCTCGATCACATGCCCAGTCATAGCAAAGAACGCCCTTTCAAATGCGAAGTCTGTGGTAAGACTTTCTCACTATCAAAAGGCTTAAAAGCACACATGATTTCACATTCTGAAGAACGTCCCTTCGAATGTGGTTTATGCAATCTGACATTCTCCCGTCCAAGCAGTCTGAAAAGACACATGCTGAGACACAACGGAGTACGCCCTTATAAATGCTATGTTTGTGACAAGACATTTACTCAATCAAGCGATCTGAAAAGTCACATGCTGATTCACAATGGAGTACGCCCCTATGAATGCGATATATGCAAGAAGGCCTTCACACAATTATGTAATATGAAAAAACACATGATGATTCACAGCGGTGTGCGCCCCTACGAATGCGACGTATGCAAACGCTCATTCACAGAATTAGGGAGTCTGAAAAGTCATATGTTGCTGCACACTGGAGTACGCCCTCATCAATGCAATATATGCAATAGGGCGTTCACACAATCCTGTAGTCTGAAAAAACATATGCTGGTTCATAGCGGAGAGCTTCCTTATAGATGTGAAATTTGCAATAAGGGATTTACTCAATCGAACAATTTGACTAGACACAGGGCAGTTCATAGCCAGAAGCGTGGTGAAAGTCAATGAAGTATAAGCATTATTGATAAATTGAATTTAAATATTTGGTAATATGTTATAAAATATTCTTTCATGTAATATTAAATAATTTATGAATAGTATAAAATATGCAGTAAACATATCATTATTTACAGTTTCTTTTAAGTAAAACTTCTTTAGGCGCGACTAGGGTGTAAATCCGTTCAAATGCAACGGAAAAAGCGTTACGCTCGAGTCGAGTGCCAATGATTTGTCATTCGCTATCTATGATATCCTTTCTATATGGGTCGATTGTGATTGGTCGTGGTGTTGCGTGAGTATGATTGCTTTGATTGAATAGTGAACACTAGTGAGGTGCATGGCATTGTGTCTTAAGGCCAATTGCTGGAACTTCCCGTACCGTAATTAAAAAATTTGGTACGGAACCCAAAAAAAAAAAAATACACAAAATGTGTACAATGTGTACATTAAAATCTATAAAATATCTGATAATTTGATGTACATATGTCCAATAAACATTTGTGATTGCCAAATCATATTTTTTAACATATTTTTTCTGAGAGTCCGTAACCGCTAGACCTGCCTTCCCAAAATTGAATCAGTTCTTCAACTTGTCAATACAAGTAAAATGTTTTGTGAATTATTAAAATCCGGTGGTCCGTTCTCTTAAAAACTGAGTTACCGTGTTTGGCACTTTTTGCCCCGTATCTTCAGAACGGCTAGACCTGCCTTTGCCAAAAACTAATCAGCACGTCTCCTATCAACACGAATCGAATGTTTATTGAATTTTCAAATCGGTTGATCGGTGTTCCCGAAATCGGCGACGAAAATTTGTATCTGCACACACATATATACACATACATACATCCATTTTTTGTAAGGTGGTTCAGAAACCTCTGAAACGTAAAGATATATAAAAATTTTCATTGTCGTTTTTTTTGCATTCACTATAACTTACCCTACGGTAACTTAATAATAAAACTAGTGGGGTGTATGGCATCGTGCCTTAAGGCAAATTGCTGGAACTTTCCGTACCGTAACGAAATGTTCGAGGAATACTGAATGTTTTCAAATAAATTATTATACATATTGTAACATTGTTAATATTTATAAGAATTATATAAACTGAATTGCAAAGTTAAAATTATTTGTTTAAAGAATATTTGAACTTTAGTCAGAATTAAAAATAAAATCTGAATTATTTTCGATGCAAACAAAAAAATGATACGATTTTTTTTTCCAAAATCAATTATTTCGTTAAAACAAGCTGAAAGTTCTTTGAATCATTTAAATTGGACGCTTAGTTCTCTCAAAAACTGCCATTTTTTGCACATTTAGCTCTGTTTCTTCGAAATGGCTGGGCCTGCCATTGCCAAAAACTAATAGTCACTTCACCCAATCATTACTAATTGAATGTTTTTTAGATCATTCAAATCGAATGCTCCGTTCACTCAAAAACTCGATTTATATTTTTTGCACTCTTTGCTCCGTATCCTCGTAACGGCTGGACCTGCCTTTGCCAAAAACTAATTAGCACATCTTCCTATCAATAGGAATCGAACGTTTTTTGAACCATTCAAATCGGTTGATCCGTGCGCCCGAAAACGTGGACGAAAAATTGTATCCATACATACATACACACACACACAATTTTTTCTGAGGTATTTTTATAGGCAGACAGATACAATAGCTATTCAAAGAATGAAACTGTATCGCCAGCGTAATAGTAAAAAAAAACAAGCAGTCAATGAATGTATGTTAATTTTAATTACATGAAGTTTTTCAAACACAATTACATGATGAGTGAAATTGTGAAAACAATATTTCTTTAGGCGTTGTTTAACATAATAATTCTCTGCATTTTTATAGATATTAAAAGTTATTAAAGCAGTACAGCTTTATTCTATCATGCCGAAGATACATCTTTTCCAGAATTATATCTCAGACACTTTTGGAAGTCTACATGTTTTTTGATCATTAAGTATTACAAAGTTGCTTATTTTTATGAATAATCAAGAATAAATTGATATTTAGATTTATTACTCTAAATGAGAGATCAAGCATTGTTTATGCTTATTTATCTATGAGATCAAGCACAACAATAGTTCATGTCGATGTGAATCATTTATATACAGATATACTTCATCATGGACATCTATGCAGTTTATATCTATTTATCTATGCAGATTCTTCAAGATTGTTATAAGTTCACTGTATGAACGAATATTATAGAATTTATTAATCAGCAATTACTCCATTTCTCTAAGGTTCAAGTTCTAAATGCTAATTACAATTACAAACCAATCATGTCTAATTACATTATTCTTTCAAACATTATAAATATTTTTAATGCTATTATAAATATACAATTAACTTCCCGAGGGAGAAGTTTGTTTTCATCAAAAAATCCGATTTGCTAATTTTATGTTTTCTCGACGTTTCAAGTCATTCTGAATCGAATGATACCGAATTATAAAAAGTATGTGTGTGAACAGATTTTTTTTCCCATAAATCGGTGTTTTCTCGAAACGGCTGGACCGATTTCAAAAATTTAAAAGCCATGGCTCCTCGCACCTCGATGAGGAATATTGTTTGTCAGTTTTGTGCGACGATCGGCAAGCCGTTTCTTTATAAATAGCAGAAGAGTGAAAATTTTTTTGTCCACGTTTTAAGCCGCAATTCTGAATCGATTTTGAAAATTCAAAATCTGTTCGAAAGATATTGGTTGAGAATCGTGCTGATTAGTTTTTGGTAGAGATCGGCCGGGCCGTTTTCTTGTAATAAAATGTTAACAAAAATTTCGACGGTTTTTATTATTTTTAACTTCCCGTAGGGTGTTATTGTAATCGTCCAAAAATCGAAATTGAAAATTTTTACATTTCTCGACGTTTTGAAGGTTTTTGAACATTTTGGCATACCTCAGAAAAAATGGATGTGTGTGTGTGTGATTTGAATGGTTTAGAAAACCTTCGATTCCTATTGATAGGAAGATGTGCTGATTAGTTTTTGGCAAAGGCAGGTTCAGCCGTTTCGGAGACATGGAGCAAAGAATGCAGAAAATAGAAATCGAGTTTTTGAAAGAACGGAGCATCCAATTTGAATGATCTAAAAACATTCAATTTGTAATATATTACTAATAATATAACTAATAAGTAATATATTGGGAGAAGAGGTGATTAGTTTTTGATAAAGGCAGGCCCACCGATTTCGGAGATAAAGAGCTAAATGTGCAAAAAATGGCAGTTTTTGAGAGAACTAAGCTTTTGCTTGTTTTAACAAAATAATTAATTTTAGAAAAAAAAAATTTTTTGTTCCAAAATTTTTTTTTTTCCAAAAAAATTTTTTTGTTCCAAAATTTTTTTTTTCAAAAAAATTTTTTTTTTGTATATAGAAAATAATTCAGATATTATTTTCAATTCTGACTAAAGTTTTAATATACTTTAAACAAATAATTTCAACTTTGCAATTCAGTTTATATAACTCTTATAAAAATTAGACAATGTTACAATATTTATAATAATCTATTCGAAAACATTTAATATTCCTCGAACATTTCTTTACGGTACGGAAAGTTCCAGCAATTTGAATCCACCAGTTGAAATCTGTTTAGGATTTTGATAACAAAAATTTTGCTCTATTCTACTAATTGATCAGTATAAATTGGCATTAATGGATCAAACATTGAAATTTATTTTGTCTGAAATATTACAACTGAGTACTCTTTAATAATAAAGATTTAATTTACCAGATTTAATTTTTCTTATAATATAAAAAAATATATATTTATATAAATTTATTCATAGTACTAAATATTTGTACAGCAGTAATTAAATTTACAATGCAAATAAAATATAAGTAATTCACAGATATTTCACACGCAGGGTTTGTTTCTGCTTGTTAATGTTTCATTAATCTTCATCACATTTTCTACTGTGAACTTTCACCTTGTGTCTCCTTAAGTTGCTCGGTTGTGAGTATGTTTCACTGCATATTTCACATTTGAAACAACGCTCTTTGGCATGAGTGATCATGTGATTTTTTAAATTACATTTTCTTACGAATGTCTGATTACATATTTCACATTTAAAAGGGAGTTCTCCAGTATGAATGTGCATGTGCATTGTCAAGACGCCAGAGTGTGAGAATGTTTTACTGCATATTTCACATTTGAAAGGGCGTTCTCCTGTATGAATACGCATGTGCCTTTTCAAGTCACCCGAATATGAGTATGTTTCACTACATATTTGACATTTGAAACGACGCTCTTTGGTATGAGTGATCATGTGTGATTTCAGATTACATTTTCGTGGGAATGTCTGATTACACATTCCACATTTGAAAGGACGCTCTTTAGTATGAGTGACCATGTGTGATTTCAGATTATATTTTAGTGAGAATGTCTGATTACACATTTCACATTTGAAAGGACGGTCTTTGGTATGAGTGACCATGTGTGATTTCAAATCAGATTTTCGTAGGAATGTCTGATTGCATACTTCACATTTGAAAGGGCGCTCTCCTACATGAATAAGCAAATGTCTTCTCAAAGTGCTTTTTTCTTTGAACGTCTTACCACAGATTTTGCATTCGAAAGGGCGTTCTGTGTTATGAGTGATCATGTGATGTTGCAATTGTGATGAATATTTAAATGTCTTATTACTTGCATTGCATTTATTGTTACCCTTTTTGTCATTTATAGGTGTGTGGTCAACCATGTGCTCTTTCAAATAATTAGATTCTGAAAATGATCTATTACAAATGCCATATTCATAACTGGGTGTCTCAATTAACTCCTGCTTGACTTCTTCCTCTATCGTCACTTCGGAATTCATAAATCTTTCCAGACAAGTTTCATTATCTTCTAAACATGATTCAGACTTAACAATACTTTCAAGATCATCAAATTCATTTTCAAGTTTAATGTCTTCCATTGAATATTCTGGGGGTTCAAGTTTAATTGTCTGATCATTCACAGACATAATCGTTGCTTCAGACATTTCCAGATATTTCCACTGCGTATATTGGTTAATATTATTGGTATATTATATAATAATATTGGTTATTACTTTTTAATAATCTACTTTGTTTTCAAATATCTCAAATAATATAATGAATCTAACTATACTTACATTTGTTGTAGAAAATCTTCAGCTGTTTAAAATCGGATACTTCTTTGCATGGTTAGTCGTTCAGAATTATAGTTTTAAATTTTTGAAATCGGACCAGCCGTTTTTGAGAAAACGTCAATTTACGGCAAAAAATCTGTTCACGCACACGCGCACATATACTTTTTCCAAATTTGGTCTCATTCGATTCAGAATGACATAAAATTAGCGATTTTTTTATGAATACATAAACTTTTTCCTCGGGATATTAAACAAAATAAAAATTTATATCTCAAAGGTGGTAAGTGTCTCGTCTTCTTCTTTATAAAAACATACTCTATGCTTCAAATGTCAAGCTACTAAAGCGTTTTTATATTTTATAGCTAAAACAAATGTGAATTTAGTTAAAGTCGTTATTATCACATTCAAAAAGATTGTTGATTAAAAATAGATTATTAAATTTTAAATCAAATAATATTTGTTAAATATTCGTGGTGAAGTTACATAAAAATGCCGGAATCAACGATTATGTCTGTGAATGATCAGACAATCAAACTTGAACCACCAGAATATTCAATGGAAGACGTTAAACGTGAAACTGATGATGAATTTAATTATGTAGATGTTATTGTTAAGTCTGAATCGTGTCCTGAAGATGATGAAACATATCTGGAAAGATTTATGAATTCCGAAGTGACGATAGAGGAAGAAGTCAAGCAGGAGTTAATCGAGACACCCACTGATGAACATGGCATTTGTAATAGATCTTTTTCAGAATTGAATGATTCTAAAGAGCACATGGTAGATCACGAACTCAGTCGTAACGAAAAAAGCATCCATAAGTGTGATGTATGTCATAAATCATTTAAACAAAGTTCGATTTTGGCAACGCATATGGTTCAACATAGCACAGAGCTTCCTTTCAAATGCCAAATATGCTTTAAGACATTCATTCGAAGAAAAAATTTGAAAAATCACATGCCTATTCATACAGGAGAGCGCCCTTTCAAATGTGCAATATGCAATAAGACATTCATTCGAAAAAGAGGTTTGAGAAATCACATGCTTATTCATACAGGACAGCGCGCCTTCGAATGTGAAATATGTTATAAAACATTTACTCAATCACATATTCTGAAAAACCACATGATCACTCATTCCAATGAGCGACCTTTCAAATGTGACATATGCAGTAAAACATTCTCACACTCCGGTGTCTTGACAATGCACATGCATATTCATACTGGAGAACGCCCTTTTAAATGTGAAACATGTCATCAGACATTCTCAAGAAAATGTAATTTAAAATATCACATGATCACTCATACCAATGAGCGACCTTTCAAATGTGACATATGTAGTAAAACATTCTCACACTCTGGTGTCTTGACAATGCACATGCATATTCATACTGGAGAACGCCCTTTTAAATGTGAAACATGTTATCAGACATTCTCAAGAAAAGGTAATTTAAAATATCACATGATCACTCATACCAAAGACCGTCCTTTTAAATGTGATACATGCAATAAAGAATTTACACAATCGAGCAACTTGAGGAGACACAGGGTGAAAGTTCATAGTAGAAAATGTGATGATCAATGAAACATTAACAAGCAGAAACAAACCCTGCGTGTGAAATATCTGTGAATTACTTATATTTTATTTACATTGTAAATTTAATTACTGCTGTACAAATATTTAGTACTATGAATAAATTTATATAAATATATATTCTTTTATATTATAAGATTTACAGATGTTGTTATAAATTTTATTAACTCCCGAAGGAGAAGTTTATGTTTTCATAAAAAAATCCGATTCGCTAATTTTATGTTTTCTCGATGTTTCAAGCCATTCTGAATCGAATGAGACCAAATTTGGAAAAAGTGTGTGTGTGTGAATATGTGCTTGTGTGTGAACAGATTTTGTGCCGTAAATTGACGTTTTCTCAAAAACGGCTGGTCCGAATTCAAAAATTTAAAAGCCATTCGAATGTATTTGGAAGAGGACTAGCGTTTCTGAGTTTTGTGTGACGATCGGCCGAGCCGTTTCTTTGTAAATCGCATAAAAGTGAAAAAAATTTCGTCCACGTTTTAGCCCGCAATTCTGAATCGATTTTGAAAATTCAAAAACCGTTCGAAAGATATTGGTTGAGAATCGTGCTGATTAGCCTTTGATGAAGATCGGCCGGGCCGTTTTCTTGTAATAAAGTTAAAAAAAAATCGTCGATTTTTATTATTATTACAAATATTTAGTACTATGAATAAATTTATATAAATATATATTCTTTTATATTATAAAATTTACAGATATTGTTCTAAATTTTATTAACTCCCGAAGGAGAAGTTTATGTTTTCATAAAAAAATCCGATTCGCTAATTTTATGACGGTAGATACCATAGTCTTCTAGATCATACTAAACTCGTTTAGTTTTAAAAATTCATCAAAGTTTGCATAAATCAGTATCGTTCTTTTGGCATTTGTAAAAATTAGACCTTTTTGATCGACGTTTTCTCAGAAACGCCTGAACCGATTTCAGAAATTTAAAAGCCATTTGAGATGTATCTCAATGAGGACTATCGTTTGTCAGTTATGTGAGACGATCTGCCAAACCGTTTCTTTGTAATTTGAAAAAAAGTGTTAAACTTTTCGTCCACATTTAGGCTCAAACTACCGAATCGATTTTAAACTAGCTGTAAGTGGAATTCTGTCTTAAGGCAATTAGGGCATCGTGCCTTAAGGCAAATTGCTGAAACTTCCCGTACCAAAATTTATTATTTTTTTAAAAACGATTAACATTTTTGAAAAAAATTTACTTCGAAAAAATTAGATTTTTGAGAAACTATAAATTTGACAAAAAATTACTTTTTTTTGAAAAAAAAAAATATTTGAAAAAAAAATTTTTTTTTGAAAGAAAAATTTTTTTTTGAAAACAAAAAATTTTTTTGAAAAAAAAATGTTTTCTTCATTTTGACATATTTTGGAAATTCTGAACTTTTTTTCAAAGCAATCGTACTGCTTGAACTGCCGCGCCGCTGTCTAACGCATAAGCATTGGTACGGAACTCATAGAAATGTAAAAAAAAAATATACTTATTGTTAAAATCTCTATAAAATATCTGATAATTTGATGTGCATATGTCTAATGATCATTTTTAACCGCCGAATGGCATTTTTTTTACTTTTTTCATTAGATCTCCGAAACCGCTAGACCTGCCTTCATGAAAATTTGATCAATTATTCATCTTGTCAATACAAGTAAAATGTTTTTTGAATTATTCAAATTGGACGCTCCGTTCTCTTAAAAACTGAGTTACCGTTTTTGGCACTTTTTTCCCCGTATCTTCGGAACGGCCTGCCTTCGCCAAAAACTAATCAGCACGTCTCCTTATCAATACGAATCGAATGTTCTTTGAATTATTCAAATTGGTTGATCGGTGTTCCCGAAATCGTCGACGAAAATTTGTATCCGCACATACATACACATACGCACACACACACACACACACACACATACATCCATTTTTTCTAAGGTATGCCAAAATATTCAGAAACCTCTGAAACGTAAAGATATATAAAAATTTTCATTTTCGATTTTTTTGCGATTACTATAACTTGCCCTACGGGAAGTTAATAATAAAAATCTGTTCGAAAGATATTAGTTGGGAATGATGCTGATTAGTTTTAGCTGAAAATCTACCGAGCCGTTTTCTTGTAATTAACTGTTGAAAAAAAAAATTAAGCCGATTTTTATGGAACTTTTTTTGGCGATATATACCATGGTCTATAGAAGCCATGGTCTTAACTTACTGAAGTATTACGGCCTTACGACAAGTAGTATAATTTTAAAAATTTATCAAAGTTTGAGAAAATAAGTAGTTTTTTGACATTTGTTAATATTAAAATTAGACGATTTACTTGGTATGACAATAGAGTAGGGTTTTAATGAACATACTAAACCATTAAACTGGTTCAGTTATAAAAATTGTTGATTTATGAAAATTTGCTTTTAGAAAATACTCCGAGTTAATGTGTTTGTTTGTTTTCAATTATGTGTAATAAATCCGCTCGGAATACTTTTAATCACTCATAAATTAATTTAATTTTTATTGATTAAGTCGATTATTTACACATATCGGGAAGTTCATGTAACTTGCATCAATACTAACTAGTTAAATTGCTAAATTAAATCTTTATTATTAAAGAGTACTCAGTTGTAATATTTCAGACAAAATAAGTTACAATTTTTGATCTATTAATGCCAATTTATACTGATCAATTAGTAAAGTAGAGCAATTTTTTTTAGCAAAATCCTAAACAGATTTCAATAGGTGGATTCAAATTGCTGGGACTTCTCGTACCAAATGAAAATTTCGAAAATCCGAATTATTTTCGATATTCAAAAAAATAATTTTTTTAGTACTTAAATTTTTTTTCAAAAACAATCGTTTCGTCAACACAAACAGAAAGTTTTTTGAATTATTCAAATCGGATGCTCGGTGTTCTCAAAAACTGCATTTTTGCACATTTAGCTGCGTATTTCCAAAACGGCTGTGCCTGCCTATGCCAAAGACTTATCACCACTTCTCCCCATCGTTGCTAATTTTTGCAAACTTTGATCATGTTTTAAAATTAAACGACTTGTCGTAGAACCGTATATTTTAGTATGATCTATAAGACTATTGTATCTACCGCAAAAAAAAATAATAAAAACCGTTGGAAAATATTTTGTTATTACTTTATTACAAGAAAACGGCTCGGCCGATCTCTACCAAAAACTAATCAGCACGATTCCCAACCAATATCTTTCGAACGGTTTTTGAATTTTCAAAATCGATTCAGAATTGCGGCTTAAAACGTGGACAAAAAAATTTTCACTCTTCTGCTATTTATAAAGAAACGGCTTGCCGATTGCCGCAGAAAACTGACGAACAATAATTCTCATCGAGGTGCATCGAATGGCTTTTAAATTTTTGAAATCGGTCCAGCCGTTACGAGAAAACGTCGATTTACGTCAAAAAATCTGGTCACATACACACACACACATACACACACATATACTTTTTCCAAATTTAGTTCCATTCAATCCAGAATGGCTTGAAACGTCGAGAAAACATAAAATTAGCAAATCGGAATTTTTTATGAATACATAAACTTCTCCCTCGGGATATTAAACAAAATAAAAATTTATATCTCACAGGTGGTAAGTGTCTCATCATCTTCTTTATAAAAACATACTCTATGCTTCAAATGTCAAGCTACTAAAACGTTTTCATTTTCTATAACAAAAACAAATGTAAATTTAGTTAAAGTCGTTATTATCAATAATCTTTATTGATTAAAAATAGATTATTAAATATTAAATCAAATAATATTTGTTAAATATACGTGGTGAAATTATATAAAAATGTCGGAAGCGACGATTATGTCTGTGAATGATCAGACAATCAAACTTGAACCACCAGAATATTCAATGGAAGACGTTAAACGTGAAACTGATGATGAATTTAATTATGTAGATGTTATTATTAAGTCTGAATCGAGTCCTGAAGATGATGAAACATGTCTGGAAAGATTTGTGAATTCCGAAGTGACAATAGAGGTAGAAGTCAAGCAGGAGTTAATCGAGACACCCACTGATGAACATGACATTTGTAATAGATCACTTTCAGAATCGAATTATTCAAAAGAGCACATGGTCGATGACGAACTCAGTTGTAATGAAGAAAGCATCCATAAGTGTGATGTATGTCATAAATCATTTAAACAAAGTTCGATTTTGGCAACGCATATGGTTCAACATAGCACAGAGCATCCTTTCAAATGTCAAATATGTTTTAAGACATTCATTCGAAAAAAAAATTTGAAAATTCACATGCCCATTCATACAGGAGAGCGCCCTTTCAAATGTGCAATAAGACATTCATTCGAAAAAGAGGTTTGAAAAATCACATGTTTGTTCATACAGAACAGCGCCCTTTCAAATGTGAAATATGTTATAAAACATTTGCTCAATCATATACTCTGAAAACCCACATGATCACTCATTCCAATGAGCGACCTTTCAAATGTGACATATGCAATCAGACATTTCCACAAAAATCTAATCTGAAATCACACATGGTCACTCATACCACAGACCGTCCTTTCAAATGTGAAATGTGTGATCAGACATTTCCACGAAAATGTAGTGTGAGACTACACATGATGACTCATACCAAAGACCGTCCGTTCAAATGTGAAATATGCCATCAGACATTCACACGAAAATATCATATGGAATCACACATGCTCACTCATACCAGAGAGCGACCTTTCAAATGTGAAATATGCAATAAGACATTTCTGCAAGAATTTAGTCTGAAATCACACATGGTCACTCATACCAAAGATCATCCTTTCAAATGTGATATATGTAATCAGGCATTTGCAAGAAAATATAATTTAAAAAATCACATGATCACTCATACCAAAGATCGTCCTTCGTCTGTCAAATGTATATATGTAATCAGGCATTTGCAAGAAAAATAATTTAAAAAATCACATGATCACTCATACCAAGAGCGTGCTTTCAAATGTGCAATATGCAGTAAAACATTTGCA